AGGTAGGGAAGTAGTTTTTTCAAAAATGTGTCATTAAAATATACCGACTGTATGTCTCCTTTCACAGTTTCTTTTGGATATACCATCGCAATGCTGCCGGGGCTGGTGCCGGTGCAGACGCTCGCCCCGATCGACGCCGGATGCTCGCCGCCGGGTGGCTTCAGAATGTGAAGTCTGCCTGCTCCCGTTCGATAGGTACGGAGATCTATAGCTCATCTTAACTGTAACAGGTTCCTAAAAAGTTACTAGATTTTTTTTTACTTCTTTCTGTATCTTGCGATCACAGTGTCAATATATAAAATATAATTATGCCATCTGCATATCTCCAGATATGCCATCTCCAGAAGCGCTGCGCCGATTGTCACCAAATCCGATACAAAGCCGATCGTATTTCTTTATTAATAAAGAAAATAATATTTTTTATAAAAAGGTTTTTTTTGCTGATTATTTTGAGCATAAAAAATCATAAATATTGTTTTCGGTCCATAGGTAAAGTTTCGGAGACACTAGTGCGTTTTCTGGAAACTGCGGTCTCAAGGATGGCGACGGAGAAAGTGCGCCCATGGTCTTCCATGCCCTCGCGCTACTGAGCCAGAATACCAGCAGCCAGCACCCTTCGAGCTGCAGTGCGCCGATCTCGCGGTAGGATGCGGTTCAAAAACTAAGCGATCTCGCGCAGTGTTTACGATCTATGGGAGTGTTTCATTGTTTTTTACGGACCTCTTTTAGTGTTGTGTTTAACGGATTGCGCCCCGTACCCGGCCCTTGAATTGCATGTTGGCAGAGATGTCGTATGATGGGTTTTTGTAATAAACTTCAGTGTTTTTCCTCGTGTTTGTCACGTCAGCAAGGCGTAAGGTTAACGAACGCATTTTTGGTTTTATGCGTTGGCATCCGCGTTAGTAAGACCCATCTTAAATGGGTTAGTATTATCATTATTCAGAGTTGGTTATCGTTAGTATTAGCCTGAGTAAGTGTGTGGTCCACCTTGGTAATACTGTGGGTAGCGTCTTAGTAGAAGCTCAAACCTGAGTACTTAGGTGGTGAGTTTTGACAACTCACCCGGAATACTCACGTTATGTATGAGTCACGTTAGTGTTAACATGAGTATCTCCTGAGTACCAAAGAGTAGTAACCAAGGGAACCTGAGTAGTTGCCGTCGTGAGTTTTGACAACTCAGTTTGGGGTGGTAACGTGAATAATTTTTTCTTTCATTGATTAGGATTTAGGTACAATAATATTCCATGCATACGCCACAAGCATGTGCACCGGCACCCTATGCAAGTGCATGCATTGACCCCCCCCCCCCCCCCCACCACAACCACAATAATGTACACGGTCAATGGTGGAAATTGCTAGTTGAGGCTGATCGGCTCATCCATTTGCCATCAACGCTGTCCATTTGCATATAGCGGCATTATATGTGTCAGTGTGATCCGCATGGTATCTCACCTCTGACATTGAGGCGCTCGAGGCACTCCGGCAGCTGCCCCCTCAGTCGCGGGAGGTCGGCGGCGGTGACTGATAGGGCTTTAAGCCCAGGGCACCTTGTGAGGGGCTCCAGGCTGCTGGCCGTGAGATCAGGACAGTCTGGAAAACACACAGACACACATACAGACAGGATCAGTTAGCTGTAATACATGTCGATATATGACAAAACGAAAAAACACCTAAAAACTCACATGGTTTTATGGACACAGTAGACAATGGTAAAACAGTGCAATTATATGATAATATGCAATCAGTTAAGCAAATGCATTGAACTTCATTGAACAGTGCAACACAAATGTTATGAGTATGATCAACTAACACTGAACGAATATGTCACTGAGTGAACAGTCCTCCTCCATTTTGAAGCTCAATTGGCTTCATTATTTCGCAAAGCACATTGGCTATGTATCACACCTTTCTCCACGAGGTCCGACAACGGCACACCGTTACTCGGTGTCCGCCATTCGCTGATCTCTTATATCAGCGGCCTGTCCGTGCTGCCGCTGCTCACCGTATATCTCCAGTAGTGTGACCGTCCGTCCCAGGTCAGCCAGGTGACTGATGGTGTCGGCAGTCACCCTCTGGAGCGACACTGACAGACGACCCAACGGGTCCCGTCCCGGCCACCTCGGCTCCGTCACCTCCGGCCCTGTCGGACAGAGCTGTGTCAGCTGACTGCAGTCGGACAGAGCTGCCGCCAGCTCCCCGGTGCACCACTGACACCAGAGTGTCAGACACTGACACAGCCAGCACTGACACAGCCGAGCGGCCGCACAGCAATTGTTAGCAGCAGCAGTCATATGTAGAATGTGAATATGAACATAATAAATATATGCGATAAGTATAGCGTAATACAGTAGTCTATGCAACTACTTATACTACTCTCATTGGTTGCACTATGTCTGTATAATCATCCCTCATTGTAAATACTTGCACACTTATTGAAACAATGCCTGCATTCCCGTGCTGGCCGCCTTCGATCGTGGCGCCACCTATACTCTGTATAACCGTGTATAACACGACTGACTGGCCGCCAGGGCCGCGGCCAGTCAGTCCCGTCAGTCTGCTCAGACTCGTCGTCAGCGAGCTATCTATGTAGTCAGTCACTACTGTTAACGCCAGACCCCTTGAGACCCTAATTTTTCGCGATTACTTTTAAATGCGTGAAGGAATTTCAACCAAGCTCAGGACATGGCCGTTTCAAGACAGGCCGAAACTTTTACAATTTAGATATTTTATCGCCATTTCATTATTTCAGGCACTTGTCATTGACTCGTAATGTAAAGTGTGTGTCATTGCTTATCGCCGTTGCCTTGCATTAATTGCTGCTTATATTTTATGGGTTTAGGCTTAATTAGTTCGTAGTTTAATTATACCTGCGTGGTGGCTATATTTCATTTTCGCATTTTCAACGCTCGCTACCTTTGCCGCTCTCCGCCCGCACTCAGCTCACCGCAGCTGACCCCGCGGTCGGCCCAACGGCGCGTCATAGTTTATCCATGTGTGACTCATTGTCTCCAGCCCGCCACGACGGTGCCGCTGAGTCGCGCCAGCCTGACGCCCGCCATCCGTCATTCATGCCGGCCCGCGCAGAATAGTGACCTGGTTTATGTCCACCAATGCTTCTGACGCGCTTCTTGGAACGATATCATGCTACGCCCCCTCAACCACGGTGCCAGCGCGTGACGATTGGCAACTCATCTGACACGTGTCTTCTGAGAGCTACCAGAGGGCCGAGGGGCGGTGACATAGTAATAACCAATCACAAGACGAGTCTTAAAAGCGAAAATGTTTTAATCCAATAGCGGGCCGTCACGCAGGATAGTTTTATATTCTAGTATGTGGTAGGAACTAGGTCGGGGTGAGCCGAGCCGAGAGCTCCCCGGCAAAGGGAGGGCAGAAGACCCCCGGCCGTCACCCACGCCGGACGTGTTTCTGCATCGGTCTCGACCGACACCGTAGCTGACCATCTCGCTGTGTTGTGCTCGTGAAACAATACACCTGGACCGGCAGAGCATCTCTTCTGGCAAGGGCTGACAACAACACCGGCGCGCCCCGCCCTGGGCACGAGAAACCGCCGTGTTACAGTAATGTTAACTGTTTTTCCATCCTGGATAGAGGCTTTCTACGTCATATGACATTAGGCTCCGCCCACGACTGCGGCATTGACCCGTGCCCATCAGCGACCTCTGTACAAACGACACCCCTGCCATCTGTAAAGGACTATGAATTTCGCTGACGCTTCACGTGCTATGAGTCAATTGCAGCAGACGGTCAAGTAAATGTTAGGCTCTTGTTGACTCTTGTATATAGGACCAAGAGGACCATCACTCCTCAACCTACTACTTAGTCGTGCTTCGAACAAACGTTAACGATTCCTAACAAATACGATTTTCGATGTAGGGTATCTGTTTGAAATACGAGCGAGCCGTATGATGTGAAGCTCAGGCAATTAACTTATTATTGCGTTGTTCGATGGTTGCATAGCGATGTACAAATCGGCAGCTACTTGGTGACATCCGACATGATGACATCCCATCATCGCATTATCTGCAACGCCATAGGCTTTAAATACAGGTGAATATTTCCTAACCTTATGTCAGTTATATGCCATCTGCCCGTCATATGCAGCTTATATAAAAAAAAAAAAATATCAGCGAACATATCAGCATTGTAGAAGCAATGCGCATTGAGCATTTATGACTCCTTAGTCATCATGTCGCTCTCTGGGCACTGTCAGCCAAGACGTTACGCACAACTCCGCCGGCTTTCGGCACCGCTCGACCGTCGCCCGTCCCCGCTCCCCGCCACAGCGAGAGTGACCGCGCGCCGGCCCGAAACCGCCGCAGGCCAAGACCACATAACGTATGTGACGTCATAACGTATCACAGACTGACTGGTGATAGCCTCTACACACCGGATGAAAATCTTGCTCGAAATTTAACATTACGAGTCAATGACAAGTGCCTGAAATATTGAAATGGCGATAAAATATATAAATTGTAAAAGTTTCGGCCTGTCTTGAAACGGCCATGTCCTGAGCTTGGTTGAAATTCCTTCACGTATTTAAAAGTAATCGCGAAAAATTAGGGTCTCAAGGGGTCTGGCGTTAACAGTAGTCAGAAGTCAGTGTCAGCCGTCGACCCAGACTAATTACTTTTGTTCGGAAATTTGCTGCTTGTGACATTGCAACTATTACTAGTACCTTGACTTTTAAAAATCACCCCGCGACATTATGGATTTAGGTACACTAATAACTATTCCATGCATGCGCCACAAGCATGTGCACCGGCACCCTATGCAAGTGCATGCATTGACCCCCCCCCCCCACCACAACCACAATAATGTACACGGTCAATGGTGGAAATTGCTAGTTGAGGCTGATCGGCTCATCCATTTGCCATCAACGCTGTCCATTTGCATATAGCGGCATTATATGTGTCAGTGTGATCCGCATGGTATCTCACCTCTGACATTGAGGCGCTCGAGGCACTCCGGCAGCTGCCCCCTCAGTCGCGGGAGGTCGGTGGCGGTGACTGATAGGGCTTTAAGCCCAGGGCACCTTGTGAGGGGCTCCAGGCTGCCGGCCGTGAGATCAGGACAGTCTGGAAAACACACAGACACACATACAGACAGGATCAGTTAGCTGTAATACATGTCGATATATGACAAAACGAAAAAACACCTAATAACTCACATGGTTTTATGGACACAGTAGACAATGGTAAAACAGTGCAATTATATGACAATATGCAATCAGTTAAGCAAATGCATTGAACTTCATTGAACAGTGCAACACAAATGTTATGAGTATGATCAACTAACACTGAACGAATATGTCACTGAGTGAACAGTCCTCCTCCATTTTGAAGCTCAATTGGCTTCATTATTTCGCAAAGCACATTGGCTATGTATCACACCTGTCTCCACGAGGTCCGACAACGGCACACCGTTACTCGGTGTCCGCCATTCGCTGATCTCGTATATCATCGGCCTGTCCGTGCTGCCGCTGCTCACCGTATATCTCCAGTCCTGTGACCGTCCGTCCCAGGTCAGCCAGGTGACTGATGGTGTCGGCAGTCACCCCCTGGAGCGACACTGACAGACGACCCAACGGGTCCCGTCCCGGCCACCTCGGCTCCGTCACCTCCGGCCCTGTCGGACAGAGCTGTGTCAGCTGACTGCAGTCGGACAGAGCTGCCGCCAGCTCCCCGGTGCACCACTGACACCAGAGTGTCAGACACTGACACAGCCAGCACTAGCACAGCAGAGCGGCTGCACAGCGATATTTTTACCAACAGCATACATACATAAATATTCAATTATGTGCAACATAAGTATTACGATTTTTGCAAGGCACATTGGCTTAGGCACTGGGCAGCCAGTCATGGTATAGTAACGGATCAGGTTGGTAGCCTACATAAATATATGGTTCGCAGTGGTTGCAATGAAACCATTTCAAATTACAATAATTGCTACAATAATATTTCAGACATGCACTTGATGCTCACACTATATGCAAATGCATGCATTGCAATTTGCATCACTCTAACAATACCATATAACACAAACAAGGCTGTAAGATGTTGGCTGAATTTGATCGGTTCGTCCATTTGCCGTCTCCCTGTCCATCTGTATATCTATATGCATTGTCCATTATACCGACATTACATGTATGATCCGTGGTATCTCACCTCTGACATTGAGGCGCTCGAGGCCCTCCGGCAGCTGCTCCCTCAGTCGCGGGAGGTCGGCGGCGGAGACTGACAGGCGTTTCACAGTCTCCCGTGAGCTCCGCAGCTCCGTCAGCTCGCTGTCACCGACTCCGGCCGGAAGGATGACAGTGTTTGGCTCCACCCTGATGATGGCACCACGAAGTTGACTTGGGATAGTAGTAATTTGTGCTGGAAAGGTGATTGAGCCAATGTCAGGCATTTGCAGGGGCGTCGCCACGGGTCCCCAACTTGTACGGACATATTCTGTCAGCCGTAATACTCGTCAGATGCGTTAACCCACGCGGACCCAGGGAAGTTGTTTTTCGTCCTCCCCCCCCCCCACATACCGTACACCTCGGACGAATAGTTGCGATAGCCCCCGAATGCCTAGTGGTTTTGGGGGAAAAATAGAAACACATTTTACATGCATTGTTTGCTTTTTCATATTTCGTCTCTTTTTGTCCTTATCCTACCTAACCATTGTCAGCCCTGGGTACTCAGCGGACGTCACTAGCCATGCTATCTGTCTGCTGGGTCCCCAGGGGTAACCTTTTTACTAATACCTGTGGTGGCGGGCTGTCCATAGCTAAAAAAAGAGCGGGGAGTGATGTGACCTAATGTGCTTGAATTCCCCTCGTTGAATGAAGTTCTATGGTATTTAACGTAGCCAGGTCACATGGGCATGGAAGGGCACTCCTGCATACCTGTTCCACTATGTTTCACATGGTGGACAATTCAATAGGTATGGGACAAAAAAAAATTGATACCAACCTACATTAGGTCAAAGGGTTAGCGACATTAGGTCAAAGGTTAGGTTAGCGACCCCGAGCTGCGGCTTTTTTTGCAGATTTCTTCACCAAAAAAGGTCCTAGACCTAAAGCAGTGGTACCAACGCATTGGTCATGTCAAGACACGTCGAATGACATATAGGTTGTTTGAAAAGGTCAAGTTTTATGTTGACCTCATATGACCTCGAATGGCCTTTGGTTGACGTTTACACATGATCAGTCTCATTTGCTGTATTTGAAGTCACTGGCTACGATTTTGTCATTCCTTTTGATCTAAGCATTCATTTAGAGCCTCAGGATGACAAAAGTGACATAATTAGGGTAATATGACTGACGTATCAGTAAAATAGCCTATAGAAGGATACGGGGTGTAACAAAATTATCCGGTCACCTTTCTTCCCGCTGTGATTAAGAAACAAGACAGCCCGAGGTTTTCCTTTTGATGAAGATATCGCCAGCTTTCATAAGATTTAGAAATGCCTGTAACATTCCAGCTACTGGGTTTTCAAGAAGTGGGTTTGATGTGGAAAGACGCCGTATAAGCATGTATGTGCTCACATACAGTTGGGCGGTCCTGGTGCCAGGTGTCCCCTTATTCACTTCCCGCTGGACAAAAATCCTTAAGATCTCTATGAAATCAGGATGACAACTATTTCCAAGTCGGCGCCCGTTAGTCCAGAAGGATAAGAGCTTCTCCTGATGTCACTTCTGATTCTCCTACGGACTTAAATGTAGCGCTCCAGCCTGCACGAAGGCAGCGTGGCTTGAATCAAAATCAATGCGTTTTTAGAAATCGAGCCCTCCCGTGCCGTCCGGTTGAGCGGCTCCAATTATTTGTTTGCCAGGATGCTGCTTCGGTAATACTCGTCACAGAAGGTGGTCTGTGACACAATGCACAGCTGGAGCATCGCACATAAGCTGAACATGTCCGAGATCTGGATCTTGGCCGGATGTTTGACGCCGGTGACGGCCGGCACGTTTGAGTAATGAGTTACTGGCCAAGGCCATCTATAGAAGGTAGTCACTCCCCCGCCGACCAATCAGAGACAGATCCTGAGTGACGTCACCCCTGATGCTCGCAAGGGGTACTCCATTCCTTTACAACGTAAAAATGACTAACTTCATTTGATGATTGTTGGTGACACTCTACACATATCGCTCAATTGTTGATGTCATTGGAAAGTTCAGCTAATTTTCTAGCGATAAAAAAGAGCAGCAATATGCTAAGAAATGGCCGGTTTTGAAGATATAGACGATTTAAAAATCCTCTACAGTTGCAGGAAAGCAACGCAAAAACGCATCGAGCTTATATTTTTACTATGAATAAATCATTTTTCAGTAAGTTTCTAGATATGGTATCGATTTATTCAACAATTTTATTACAATATTTTTATTACTTGGAACTTTATTTCAAAATAATATTTTCAAAAATGGCAACTGTTGGCAAGTAGCTTTGAAGCGATTGTGGCGCACCGCACCATTATTGTCCTGAGGCCCCCTTATGATGTCATCAAAAGTGGAGTGACATGGGCCTGTTACTGGCAGCCAACACAAGCCGCTTTGACGGTTCAAAGGACAACACAGCGCGAATAGCTGCCCACTCCACCAAACGCTCATGTCTTCCCTCGACCAGTGCAGTGGATGCGTCTTGGCGTGAGGCCAAAGGTGGTGCACTAGCTATTTTCCCGTCCATTGCGTTGTCTTTTTCAGTTTGATAGGCAGAAGAACCAAGTTAAGGGGTGGATAGTGTTGGGCTGGTGGGTCATGATGTGGGCCTTCTAGTTCTTATTATCTGCCTTGCCAAGAATACAAGTCAATCTGCAGATTGATTGTTGTCGTATGCTTGTCGTTATCTTGACAACTCTCCTATAACCACTTGGCAAAGCGCGGCTTTAGCGGTCGCGGCCGGGCTGAGTTCTAATAAATAAGAAATAGATGTCCGAATAACTTCGTTACACTCTATATACCTACTCTTGCGTGACATTGACTTTGGGGCGGCCTTGGATCGTAACTTTAACCACAAATAGGGGCCTGATAAACTTTAACCTGCTTCAAACATGTGCGAAGACTGCATTTGCGGTCGACGAAACTTGTACGGAAATTTCGTACAAGTTTCCGGGCCTTCCAAAACTTGTACGGACACTGTCCGTAGTGTCCGTAGTGGTGGCGACGCCCATGGGCATTTGTCTAGGTCAAACATAGTACACTTACCTACAGGTGTAGAAAACAACTGTGAGTGAAAACTGTTTGTGGCTACAATGCTGTGATAATTCCGTGTCTTAGTGAATATGTACTTTATCAAAACCAAGGCTATAGAACTCCAGGTAAGGACACCAGCCGTTTGACCTTGAACGCCGCCGGCTGGCCGATGACGTCATTGGAGGCAAGCCGGCTCGGCGGACGCATCGGGCGAGCGTATAACGGACGAGCGTTGGGACGTTGCGGGAGCCGGGGAGAGATTTTAAAGCGTTTGCATACCACCATTGTCATGTTGATTGATCTAGACAGCATTCTCATAAAGCTCGACGCATCTTAGGCCTGGATGGTGCGTACATTCGTAGAACGGTCCGACGTCCTTGGTCGAAGCTGTCTACTCTATATGTACCAAAAGACACCAAGACCGGTGCAATAACGGCGACCCGATCCCGTCTCTGGCGATTCTAGGACTCGTTAACCCGGCACCGCCTGGGCTATTTCCGTACCCACATCAGCCTGGGGGGGGGGGTCGGATCCGACCCCCCCCCTGTTATCTCGAGAACCAATGGTCGTATCGAGCCCCGCGAGGCGGCGTTCGAAAGGTCTCTACGAGACCTTCCCAAAGCACTCTTAAGATTTTAAGATTGAGGTCAACTTTCGGGTCAAGGTCAGGTCAAAGGTCAAATTCAGGGGTTTTGCATGATTAGGCTTACGGACAGCGGAATCGATAGCTGCTGCTCGAAACTCACCACAAATGACCTCAAAGACCTAGTGAAGGTACCATGTGCGTATAGGGGTCATACTAAGTACGGGTCAAGGTCAGGTCAGGTCACGAAAGGTCACGGTTTTCACTTTCTGCTACATGGGCGTGCGACACATGTTTTATGGCTTATTTTTCACGCCAAATCCGATGGTAATGGTTATATGTGACCCCAAGTCACTGTGCTGGTGATAAGTGTGCATTGAAAGCATAAAAAATCGTTTATACCATACATAACTAAACGAGGGCTAAGAAAAAAAGTCAATTTTTCAACTTTTTATTTTTGACATAAAAATGCACTTTTCTAGACCAGCTTTGTCCCAGGAATCTAGTGATGCCATTTGTTTTCACATGCGATGTTCAGAAGTGCCTTTAATTCGCGAAAATGCTTATGACGTCACCATGCCCTTTGCATGTTGGAACTATTTTTTACAATTTGGGGGTCAAAAATCAAGATAGAAAGTTGAAATTTGGGACACCTAATGTTCTAATAGAGCTCTATAACATATATTCCGGTTTTTTGGAAATTCTCAAAATTTTGGCTTTTATTAGCTGTTTTCCAAAAATATAGTTTTTTGAATTTTTAGGGGTGAAAAACGCATTTTATGGAAAATCCGAGATAGCCATTTTAAAGAACTCGTTGAGCTGCGTCTTTTCATGTCCTTAACCCTCGCATGTGTAGGGGGGGGGGGGGGGTCGGATGGACCCCCCCCATGGTTTTTCGCGAATAACTCGCGTAAAAAGCGGCCGATCGCGACGAAACTTTCAGTACCCTCGCATTGATCAATTTTACACCTACCCTGAAAATTTCATGACCCTGACCCAAATGACCTTTGACCTGTGACCTCTTTTCCGAGACCATGTTTGGCCGGAATCGCGATTTCGCGTATGTCGGCTCGCACTAGCCGCGTGTTTGCAAGCTTTTCGTGGTTTCAAACGTTCAAACATGTGATTTGATGTTACTCCCGTGTGTGTCAAGGTCACCTGAAGGTCAGGTCAGGTCATTGACCTTTGGTGACCTCGGGTGACCTCGGGTCACTTTTTCGAGTTTTACATGTTTCTAGGCTAGTTTTTGGAGCTGAATTCGAATTTAGCAACCATTTGAACATTTACGAAGTAGTTTTGGTGACTTCGTAACATGTTACGAAGCTGTCAGAGGCGGTTGACACGTACTACGAATACCCGTCACGACGCCTACTGGTTGACCTGACCTGACCTGACCCGACCTGGTCTAAATGCTTCAAGACATCATCTGTGATCAAAACTAACACGATATTCGTGATCAGCACCCCGAAAAACCCCTTAGCAGCCACACTTTACGACTTTCTAACAGGTCCCGATTTTCCCGACTTTGGGTCATTGACCTGACCTGGAAGGTCAACCAATGACCTAGGACCTTAAAATTGGGTATCATCGGATTCCTCTCGTCACGGGCAACACGCTCG